TTAAATTACAATGTGCATTTTATTAATCCCTATTATAATTAATCATCTAACTGGTTTTTTTTTTATGTACCAAGTTTCTGACGTTTCTTTTGAACTTTATAAAATCTATTTGTTCGAGTAGGTACTTGTTACGAATATCACCACTTTCAAGCGTTACAGTGCCATATTTTTCTCCATTTTAAGTCTAGTGCAGTGGAGTGGAGAAGAAAGGGCACATTGTATTTTGTTTACACAATGTACCCGTTTTTAACGAGGCATTTGGATAATTTCGTGATTTTTATTATTTTTATCTTAAGCAAATTTGAGTTATTCAGTTTTATGAATTTTATTTATTTTGTTATTAAATCGACTTCAGGAAGGGTAAAGAATTTATTTTTCAGCGTTCATGTCGTATTACCTTGGCAGCGTCCACTCGATCGTCTATGTACATCAGGTCGGTGTCGCACTGTTCGGCGTGGTCCGCATCGTGTTGGTCTCGGTACCTAAGCACTTCAGCCCACACGGCCAGCCGAATCTCCTCGTCGCCGGCCAGCCACTCATCCCTGTGCCACCAATAGTCAGCCGCATGATTGCACCGGTAGTACAGCTGACACCACTCGTTGACCGCGGTAGGAAACCACGTCTCGTCGTAGTACCGGCCCAGCGTCCGGAACAGGCCTTCGCTTGTACACTTTGTCCACTTCCACTCGACTGAATCTTCGAATCGAGTGGCATGGGAGGGCGGAATACCATTTTCGTCCGGTTTCTGAGGACAACGCTTCTTTTTCAAAGGCATTAGGAATGTGTCTGTGCCATTTTCGTTGCAATCATTTCCGTTCATAGTGATATTATACCTTTATTGTTATCGAACTAGTGGCGTCCTGTTTGTGCTTTCGTTCGATGATTTTGCGTCCTATAATCGACAATTTTATRTAGTTAGTTTTCGTTAATTTGTCCTCTCGTTAATTTTGTGTGTTTGTTGTTTCACCGCCCTGAGCGTCGCAGCAGGACTGTTTAACTTCACAATACGTGCGGTAGGTAGGTAGTACCTACCCAAATAAACATTTCACGCATAGCGACAGTGGCTGGTTCTGGCTAGATATATTATTAGTTACAATATGATTGTAAACAAATAATAATCTAATATATCTTAGTTAAAACCGACCAGGGCTATCAATTACCACAATGCTAATAACTCTGAAATTATATGGTATTTATATGGCCGTTATATCGTTAATATAATTTATAATTACCGATTGATGTTACCGTACATT